ACCACTGTCTGGGTCATTGATGAAGATGCCATATAAAAATGATGCCAGCATGGATCTCTGGGGAACCTTCTGACTCTCTTGTGCTGAAAAGTGACCATTAAGCCTTATGTTTTGTTTCCTCTTCTTTACCCAGCTTTCAGACTGTAGAACAACCTCTTCTCCAACCCTGTGGCAACTTAATTTGTTTAATTGTATTTAGGGAGGAACCTCGACAAACACATTATGCCTACTGGATACCCTTTGCCCTTATGTTTATTAGCGCCCTTGTAGAACTCAATCAGGTTAGTGAGGCAGGCTTGCCCTTCACAGCAGCTGTAGTGGCTCTTTCCCAACAGATCCGTGTCGTCTCATGTGCTTGGTGATCTTAGTTATTATAGACTAGTGACTTACCTGAACAAGGAGTCAGACTTGCAGGTAGTTTCTGGGATTCTTTCTAGAGTCTCTTTTTGTTTGAAGTTGTGTTGGCAGTCCATCAGTCTTCTGGGTGTGTGGGCATTTGTTGGCCATGGGTTGTAGTCCTTGGCCAGCACCTCTGTGCTTTCACATTTCAGTTCCTTCAGCACTCCTGGCTGACTGTCATCCAGTCTTGGTGACTTACTGACATCTAATAATTCCTACATGTTTAGATTAAATCATATAGCTTTCACTTGCCTACTCCAGGGAATGGTCTGGGTTTGGGTATCTTTCCAGTGCGTTTAGCAATAAAGACCAGGGCGAATAATTCGCAGTGAGTGCTGCTCTGCTGTGGCCTTATTATCCTTGAGTTCCCTTTCTGTGCTTTTGTTATTGAGCAGTCCCACTGACTCTTTGTCTGGCTTCCTGGGTTTGATGATGAGCATCATTTGCAAGAAGCTCTTCAAATACTTTTCTAGATCTCTTAATTTTGTGTTTACATTGCCCTGACATACTTTAGGGTCTTTCCTTTTCCTCCTTATTTGGGCAAGCTTTTAATACTGACTTTCTTAATACTGACCTATTCACTATAATCACCTTTTAACTTTTCCGTTAAGACATCCAGGTGGATTTTGGTGGAGGGGAAGGAGAGGAAAGGAGAACTATTTTATTTTCTTTCTGAATTGTGACAGCCTTTCCCCCCCCCCCCACTCTAATTATTTCTCTCTTGATGTTGAATATTTGCATATCAGATTTACTTGGGCAGCTTTCTTCCATTCCAGTGCTAAACCTACTCATGAAGCATTCAGATTGATTCCTGGGAGATGGAGAAATCTTCTACTAGAGAAGTAGTATTATTTTAAATAATAAGTTAATAGTAGTTAAAAGCAATAATAGTAGTTTCCATTTTGTTTGCATATCTAGGGGAATCTGTGCACTGCTCTGGAAGAGTCTACAAAAGGTTAATGAAAAAAACACCAGCCAACTTGTCCAGGGTATAGGATACAGCGCTTCTCTTGGTATTAAGGACTCCATGTTTCTGCTGGAAAATGTTAGGGTTCCATGAATTGAAAAATTTTGAAAACCATTGAGTTAAATAAAATCTTTGGGTTCTTTAATGCTTGTACTTCTTGACAGTTGCTAGTGAAGTTCTGCAGAAAAAGGTTTCCTTGCAGCCTCTCAAGATGCATAGTAAGAATACAGAGATGTAAATTAGCATGGGGAGATGGGAATTATGAGTTCCGTTACTGTTTCTCTTTTAATATTTAATATTAAAATGAATATTTACATCCAGGAGAAATAGTAGAGAAGAAAAATGATAATGTTTTGAGTGTTGGAGAGAATGACTTTAGAACATGAGATTCTGAGAACCTGTGTGGATATTGAGGGGTATGGGATTGCCTTGCCAAGAGAAAGACCCTTTAATGGGGAAATGTAAAGAGCTCTTTAATGTAGCAGTGTAAGCAGTAATGGATCTCTGACTGAAAGTTGAATCCACATGTATTCAGAACTAAGGTGAGAGAAAAGTAAGAAAAATATCTGCAAAATACTAAGGAGAGCATCTTGATACCCTCAAAACAAGACAGAGTGCATTCTGGAAGATAAGCACTAAAAGAACAAATAGTTTTTTACCAATATCTGCTTAACAGGGGAAAATTCTGTGGCCTGTTTCCTTGAATAGGTCATACTGAAATGATGGGATGTTCCTTTTTGTTCTAAAATATATGATACCATGAATAAAAATCACAAAATGTCCTATACAGATTTGCACATGAGATACTCAGATTAGCAATGAAATGTGAACTTGTTGAGAATTTGTCCAAGACTTTCTCAGAGTGTTACTCAAATGAAACAGTAAAAACACAGTTGCTCTTTGCTGAGGTCCCTGCTGACATGCTGTTTGAGAAACACTGTATCAATATTAAAAGATAAATTACTGCAGTTCCTGGTGTGTTTCATAGTCTTTCTTAGCTGGGTACTGCTGTTGCCACCAGTTTGGCACTTTTGTGCTCAATATCATGGTCCATTAGAGCTCTCTTATTGAATGTGGAGTGTCCACATACTTCCTTTGCTGTGTATTTTTGTTTTCTCATGATAAGAAGTTAAGCCCATTAGTCCTTTACACTTTTCTATGTGAAAGGTACTGATTTACGGTAATAAAGTAATTTCTTAATATTGTTTTGACATGTTAAGTAAATTGAATTGTTCAAAGATACTGTAAAGGCACTTTCTTTAGTGTGTGGAGGGTTGCTGGGTTAAGAATAAAAATGTTGTGTTTGTGGTAGCACAAATACAGATTTAGAGTGAGAGAGAGAGAGTGCTACAAGTGTGTAAGTCACTGTTAATTCTCCTTCTTAAATGAAGGCAGGAGTGCTACTATTTCTGCAGTTTCACCTAAGGAGCAAATGCGCATGAAGGACCGACCTGGGCAGCACAACCATCCTTTCGCAAACAGAGGCGGCAGCAAGAAGCTGCATGTTGTCTGCTTTGGTGCTTGCACAGTCAGCAGTTGGTGCACGTGCAGCCCTCCCAGAGCCTTTAAACAGACGCCCAGTGTGTCAGGGGGAAAGAATTTTCGAAAACAATATCCAGAGGATGGTTTTTATTTTTTTGATACCTAACAGATCAAATGGTGTGCTGGTAATGAAGGAGAAGGTTCAGATAGACCTTGCCTGGAACATATGCTCCTTGCCACCTTGTGATGAATTTAGCAAGACTTGCCAGCTGATGGGGTCAGTTATCTGATCTTGCAGTCCTTATTCCTGCCCTCCCCCCCTTTTTTTTTTCTCCTATTGGACTAGTGCTGCACAGGGGCCAAATCAGACAAGAAAGACCACTGCACTGCAGGACTGGGAGGGGGAGGAGGAGGAGGCAGGGTTTCTCCTCAGCTGGATCAGCTAAGGTATGATGAAAAAGTGCACCTGGAATTCTCTGAGGGGTTTTATTGGCACTAGAGGAGTCTGAAAACAGATTTACTTCAGGAGAATGAGGAACTTCTAGAGGGCTAGAGCATTTATATAGCTTACTGATCATTGGACCCTTGGCCCCACCTTGTTCTGCCCTACATAGAGATAAAAAGTACATTAGAGAATGCCCAGATCTCCAGGAAATGTTGCTCCCCTTAATCATCTCAGATTGTCTGAAGAGGGCTTGCTGTCTGTAAGCAATAATCATGTCACTAAATTTCAGTCATTCCCTATCAAACTGTGATCTGTTGGTACAAGATGAAGCTGTCACTGAAAACTAAATAGTATAAAATTTAACTGAATTAAACTGTAGACATCCAGTAGAAAAGCTTTTGTTAAAACTGTTTCAGCTATGCTGCTGATGCTTGCTATTCTTATGTGCACACTTGGTAAACAAAAATGTGGAAGACTCTTAGAGGAGATGAAAAATTTGTGTTGCTTCTCCCTGATGGGGAACTCAAATTCCCTGGGGAACGTCGGCATGGGAAAATGCATCAGCATCATAACGGGCACTCATCTGCAGCACGACCCCCAGAAGACAAAGCAGCATTTTACCTCTCGGGATTAACAAACACGTGTCAGCTTTAGTACTGTTGTTTGGTAGTCAGGTGATAGACTGCCCATATGTCCTCATACCTCATTCTGGCATGAGGTTTTTTTTTTCCCTCTTTGGAATTTGAAATAAAAGCATAGCTTTATTCTGTTGTCATTTGTTCCAGTTCTTATGTCACAGATAGGAAGTTTAAAAAAATTTTTTAGGAAGTTCTGTACCCGAATTTATTTTTCTCACTGTGTCTTTATTGGAAAGGCTTCTTTCTTTGGTTATCTTTACTGGGGACATACAGAAATTATTATAGAATGAGGATGACTTGCATCAAAAGAAACTTAAGTATGTAAATAGTTCTCGTATAAATGCTCTAAATAGGAAGATGAATGTTTATGAGTACTTCAGGCACCTATACAGCTCAAATCCCTTCCCATAGTACAGCATGGTCCTTTTGGCAGTGCAATGCTCCCAAATTGCCCAGGGAGAAAAGGGAGCAGGGAAAGGATTTTTTTAGACACTTACAGCTTGCATCTAAGTGAACAAGTGTCCGCATCTCTTTTAAGCCTCTTTCTCTGGGATTTGTACCAGTGATGTGAGGATTTCTTGACATAAGTAGTTGTTTAGTAGTTAGTGTTTTGCAGTGGGGTGAAATGGACAAGAATATGTGGCTTCAAAGTATCATGAAGTTAAAAGGTTTCATTTAAAAATAACTGCAAGCTCAGAGAAATCATGTTTTTTGTCTTGTAGTACTAAGTCAGTGACATTTTAGTATTCTGAGGAAGTAATTTGTAGTTCGTTTTAAGCACATTAGAAAATGTGTGTGCAATATCAGTGTTATGCAAACACCATTATTAAAGGCTGATGGAAGCATAAAGTATGGATTCCTCCTCACTCTTACGTTGGTTTCTATACCCGTTGTAGATCAGATCCTTATATTTCAGCTATTTAGTTTTTACCTACTTTATTATTTTTAAAGGGAGTTGCAACCATGACTCTTACAGGAATTCTGTAATTCATTAAAATTAAAAAACAAAAGACACCACTACCTCTAATAAATGTTTTGATTAAAACGGACATTTCTGAACCTTCTACAGAAAATACCTGCTCAGATGTGACAGCATTTGTGACATCACCAGTACAGACTTTCACAAGGATTTTGAAGTCAGTGTTGTAAGTCAGTTTCCATTTTGTTTTTATTAATTAGAAAATAGTGCTGTTTACATTCTAGAGGAAAAAACCTCCACTGAAACCATATCAAATTTGTTTAGTTAATTCAATAGTAATGCAAATACATTTTTTGAAAATTACAGTTCCTTGTTGGTCCCTATTATTTTGGTGTCACAAATGTTAAATATTTGGTGCCAGTTAATTATTGTATGTATAATCAGAATTTCAGAAAGGCCAGATGTAGGAGGAGATTATCAGTATTTTCTCTTGTATGAAATATGACTTCTGCATTGAATAAAATAATTGTAGAGTTTGCTGAGATCTATTTAAGGTTGTCCTATAAGTTGTTAGACTACCTTTTGCATCAAAAGTGTTTTGGAGGCTAAATCATTAAAAACTTTTCATTAGTTCAGATTGGGAAAAAGATGTATGCTCATAGCAGAGAAACCACAAAATGTGTGTCTGTTAGCGGAAAAACAGTAACAAACCTCATCCTGAGATTGGCTAGATAAATTTCTATGTCTTATCCAGGTCAGTCATCTTTCAGTTCCATCTTGTGGCTGGAATTTTGGGGTTCATAATTTATAGCTCTGCTTTAAAAGTTTCTAAAGTGACTGAAAATGGGGCAGAATTTTGTGCTAGTAAAATTGCAGGGTACAGAATTTCACATTTCTGCTTATCAGTCAAGCTTTCTTTTAATTCAGAGTGGAAAAACTTGGAAGCAAAAGACTTGTTAACACCTCACTTGCCTGAATATTTATTGCAACCATAATATAATAAAATCATGCAGGATAAAATACTGTAAAATACGCATATTAAAATTGAAATGTATTATGATTCTTATGTGTGTGTTATGAGCAGTTTTATTCATTTTAAGGGAGTTTAAATATTTTAGAAATATGTAGAATCCTAAGGTTAAAAACTTGGGGTTTTTAGCTTCTATTAATTATAGTCTGCAAATTTAAGAAAATACTTCACTGACCAAATTGTTCTTATCTTCATGACACTGCTTCTAGTATGGGAAATATCGCACAGCTAGCTCAAAATACCAATTTATTTTGGGATCTCTGTGCTGCTAAGATTTTGTTAATATCATTAAATTATAATAAGTACTTCACAAGTACATGTCAAAATATTGTATTTCTAGCTTTTTTCAAATTGCAAATTTTAAGTGATTTTTCAATTATTTGCCAGAGTACAGAGAATTATATATATTCCTTATAGTCTACATATTTTTTAACTATAATTTCTGTGTACATGTGTGAAGAAATAGTTGTCAGAATACTTTGCTTGTATAGAATGTGAAATTGTATTAGGGAAATTCTTGGTTTAATATTACGTCAGAATGACCATGGCATTGTTGCTTAGAGATGCAGTTGATCTTAGAAATTTGAATCACTTGAACCTGATTTTCTGGCTTAACTGGAAAAGAAGAATTGCGATCACATGGTAGACTAGCAGTCCGATTAATCGGTAGTTAATCTTGCATAAGTTCATGCTGATGCCCTTTCTCCCTTGCATCTCTCTTGCCCCCAGCCAATTACTCCCCATCTCTCCTTTGTGCTTGTACTAGCTATACAGTGAGCTAAAATGGTTTTGATCTGGTCAAAACCTATTTTGTTGGGGTGTGTTTTCGATTAGATCATTTTGTAGACCTGCTTCAGCTGTGTGGATGCCAGTGCTGATGCAGTGGAGCAGGACATGGGGTGCGCTGCACGCTTCCTTTGCAAGTGTTCCTCACCTTTCCAAGTGCACTGTGCTGGTAGGAGATTGTATGTAAGGTGAACCAAAGCAGCCAAGGACTGGGACTTTAATTCACCATCAATACTCCCTGCCTAGTACCAGATTTGTGCTTGGACTAAAATGAGTAGCAATTAAAGGAAGAACCTGCCTATGTTGAATGTTTACTCCAATTTCCTGAAGGTGAGGTTTTCATTTTTTAAGAAAAAGTGCTCACACAGGTTTGGAGATGCCTCACAGCGTTCAAGGAGAGGCTGGCTTTTTCTAAAGGTGCTAGGAGGAACTGAGTGCTGAACTGGTGGGAGAGCAGCTGGCATTGCCTTGGTGCAAACAGCTAGTTACATGGTGATGTTACAGGATCCAGCTAGAACTCCTGATATTTGAAAATCTGTTCCTGAACTCTTCTGAAAATGTGTTCCTGTGAGATGACTGATATTCTACTACTGGCTGTTTGTGTCATAAAATCCTTTTGTCGTAGTCCTGCCTTTGAAACCGAAGCCTAATCCAGTCTTTCTCTCCTCACTCTGCTTCTCTCTAACTCTGTTTTTTTTTTTCTTCTGTGTTTGTCCCTGAAGCCCTTCTGTTCTCTTGTCATTATTTTTTAAAATATAGTTAGCGAAATTGTAATTTATTTGTTTATCATGGAATAATAATATTTTCAATATTCCTAAAATTATGTAACTTTACAAATGACAATATTTTTCTTTCTTTCTTCTTAGTACTGCATACTTAAGCAAAGGTTACATTAATTGCTCTTTAGTGGTTAATTTAAAGCTGAACACAATGTGTGAGTATTTCAGGTTATTCCTCTAGCTGTTTATTAATTCAAGTAATTCTTCACTTTATTTCATCTGGTGTTCTCAGCTCACTGGCATAGCTTTGCCACTCTGAAATTCTTCACATTCTTGATAAACTTGGATAGTTTTACTGTCTTGCAGTATATGCAGTGGTGATCCCAGATCATTGTTGTATATATTAACTAAAAATGTTCCTAACAAAGAACCATAGAGCATCATAGATTGAAATTGGGCTTTGTAATCCTATTTTGCTCTCTTCTTTTACCCAGTTTCCTATTTGTTCTGTTCCACCCCACAGCGTTTTTCTTCCACACAACTACTGTTTCCTTAAACTTGAAAGCTTTTAAAAACATGAAATAAATTATGTCAGTTAGTCTTTATCCATTTTATTTTCTTGACATTCTTAAAAAAATGCCATATGTATGATGGGCATGGTTTTTCTACTTAAAGGCAGTGCTGCTTTGTTTATCTTAATGTCAGTTTGTGTTATTTAAGTGTATGATGAAAAACAGCATTATAAACGGTTTTCTTCAACTACCATCCAGCCAATTGACTTGAAATTTTCAAGGTTGTTTTTTTTTTTTTTTAACCTCTTTTGGTTCTTCTTGGGGGTGTGGGCTGTAATTCTCCATTTATAATCTTTCCGTTTAACTGTCATCATTGAAGGGTAGCCGTTTTTTGCCAGTAGTTTTTACCTCACTTGCAATTTCTTAGTAATTGTGGATGTATTCTGCCTAGTTCTGGGACTCCTTAGTACCTAGCATTCTGCTGCAATACCTCCTTCTTGATCCAGAGACAGTGAAAGCATTTGTCTGTTACCTGAAGCAGATTTCTGTTATTGTCTACTGAGGTAAAGATCGATAGAAAGAAACCATTCTGGTTCTTTGCAAATACCATTATCCTCAGTTGCAGACTTCATCTTATGTATGGTTAATTTTTCACCAATTTTTAGTCCTCTATTTCGCTTGGGTTTTTTATTTTCCTCGTTTGGAAGTTCACTACATCTTATTTTCTGTAAGCAGTACTTCTAAAATTTATTAATTTTGTCATTTAACTACAGTATTTCCTTTATTAAAGAAGCCTGCATTTTCCCAGCTCCCCTCAACTGGTTCCTCATCTTCTGTGATTCCAGGATGATTTGGTGGCATGAACAGGGTGAAAAGCTGGAAGTAGGTGGTAAAGAGCAAGCAAACTCTGAGGCTTGGGTGGTGTATTTTCCAAATTTTGAAGGTCCTGATGAGCAAAGTTTTTGGATTGCTAACAAAAATACTGGAAAATACGATCCAGGCAGAAAACAGGGGTGGAGGTGGAGGAATGGATTTGAAGTCTTTGTCTCCCTCCCGTGCTGAAGTTCAGTTTCACCTTTAAGTTTACGGAGCAACTCCTTTCCCAAGTATGATGGAACTGAAATATTTTGTGCTTACTGTTAAATGGTTCTTGAATTAATTCCCCTATACTGCATGGATGAAGAGGAAAATGCCTCCCGCTCATGTGTTTTAGAGCCAACAGTATCAAGGAGTATTAGTGTCAATAAATTACTTCTCTGAAGTTTATTACGTGTGATATTTAGCCAGTTTGAGAGAAATAAAAACCCCTTGAAGTGGACACTATTTAAATTTGGGGGCATGGGATTTTCTGCAATTAACTAGATTGCTATGGTAGGCCAATATATTAAGCTCAGGCAGTTTTGCTGCTAATTACACACAACTTCTCTGGAGTATCGGATATTCAGATCCATTTTATGAATATGGTAGAGAGAATAACAACTGTAAAACAAAGCACTGTGCATGTAAGTGACTGTTAGCGTGTATTTCAGAAGGGATAAATGCTCACCATATGGTACAATTACTGTGTCCAAGTTTTCAAATTAGCTTCTCTCATCCTCCTTATTACTGTCTTTAAAAAGAGAGGAAAAAAACCCAACATGATTTATCTACTCTGCAGCAGAACTCTTGACGCAAAACAGCAGCCCAGTTCTGTCCAGTTTTTTTTTCCTAGCATAATAGAGGCTGTCGGACTTTTTTATACTAATTACTGTGTGAGCCTCAGATGAACCCCCTTCAATTCACAGGGCTTTGTTAAGGGAGGAGCTGTCAATGTGTCTGCCCGTTTGCAGCTGTGCTGTGGCTTTAGCTTGCTTAACATTATGCTGCTTTTTAGACTTGACAGAAGGGATTTTTTTTTTTTTTTTATTAAGGCAAAGCAGCCTTGTAGCGAAATGGTTTAAGCAGCTGCATTGTGGGGAAGCACAAAGAAGTTATTATTGTGTCTGTTTAGGGGGGTCGGATGGAGGGGGGAGATATTCGGCTGCTGTTGATGCCGATTGTTGACTTGCCATCTGCCAGATAGGGAGAAGAAAAAAATGACAGCTCCAGCAGGGTGTTCAAGAGGTTGTTTGGAGAGACGCATAAACATGTGCAGATGTCGAACTGAATAATGGCAAGAACTTGAGACGGTTTATGATGC